ATGCATGTGGGAAATTCTTCAGGCTAGACCGTATGCTAGGGCACAAAATGAATCCCAATACCATTTAAAAGATTGAAATCATGCAAGTATCTTCTCTGTCCACCAATTCTAGGAAGTCTGTGGAAGGATTCCATGTGAAGATTTAACCAGAGGATTTCATGCTGGTTGCCCGAAAGCTGGAAGCTTCTAGAAAACTTTCAGGACATCTATCTAAGCATTACCTCCTGCTGTGAGCTTTAAAGTAGTTTACTCTTGAGAAGCACTTAGCAAAGTGCCTGGCATGCAGTAAGCATGTGATACATTTTAGATGTTATTATCCTCACAATTATGTTATGGGGACAAGCTTCATTATTTTCCCTATTTAACAGGTGAGAAGACAGAAGTTCAGAGCTGCATGGTAAGTTGCCTGAGGTCATACATACACAAATATGAGAATTCCGCTGTTGTGGAGCAAAATGTCCTCTACATTATAGAAACTTAAGCAACAAAGAAGTTTATTTCTCTGTCACATTAAATCTGACAGAATGGTAGCTCCACAATCATCATGGTTTCAGCCTCCTATATCCTTGCTGTATTACTCTCAACCTGTGGCTGCCTCCTCATGGTCTAAAACAGCTACTGGAGATCCAGTCATCACATCTATATTTCTGACAGCAGGAATGGGAAGTAGAAATCCTGCCCTACTCTTGAAGTCCACCATCTAGAAGTTATATGCATTTTTCTTGGTAACATTTGTCTGAACTTAGTCACTTGGCCATTCCTAGACACAAAGAAGCTTGGGAAATATGGTCTTTACTCTGGGCTCCCCAGCTAAAAGTCAGGGAGTCTATGACTATGAAAGAGACTGGGGAGTGGACATTGTAGCAGCTAGCAATGCTGTTTGTTGCTTATCTTCAATCTCTTAATAATCTTTCCTATCAGGAGAGAAAGCTCCGTACCTTACATTTTAACCTTGGAGCCCTGAGAGAAGACACCGTCTGGGCCAAATTGCAAGTTGTAATAGAGCAGGCTTTCTTTCTTAAGGCGCACCAGGAAGCCAGCTGCTCACCCAGCAATTTCCAAATGAAGGGCAGAGTCCTGGCAACAACACTGGTCATGGGACTTCCCCCAGGTTTTACCTCTGTAAACATCGTGAAGAGAATCAGGAAAGACCACGACATTGCAAAATCAGAATTACAAGGCCACATGTGTGACAAAACTCTGGCAAATTCCAGCACCTCTGCTAGTCATCCTTAAAAGGATTCCACTAGTCTGTGCATGTGTAAATCACATCCTGCCTACAAATCACTCATTTCTCACCCCTTCTTTGCAATTCCAGAGGAGCTTAAGTGAGTGTGTGTGTGTGTGTGTGTGTGTTGGTGGGTGATGAGATTGAGTCCAGGGGGATGGACTGGAGTTTTCTGTTTCTATTTCAGACCAGATGACAATGAACCCCAGCGGCTCTGTATCTCTTCGTGGCCCAGTTTCGCCATTTGAAGCCAAGGTTTCCTTGGCCAGTTCATGTGCTTTAAGATTCATGTCTCTGACACAGAAAAATCATGTATTACAGAGCCTAGGCATTCTGGGTCCAAGTCCTGGTTCTGCCACCCACTGGCTGTGTGACTTAGATAATAGACTTAACCTTTCTGTGGCTCCGTTTCTTCATTTGCAAAATAGGACTGATAGCAATAGAAAGTATTTTGTAGTGCTTCTGTAAGAATTCAATAATTAAAGCTCCGGAAGAAGCCAGGCCATGTGGAGGCCCTCTGCTGATGCCTGCAGGAAGGGCCCATGCCCTGGCATCTAGCCCACCAGGAAGGGCAGAAGGGCAAGGGCTCTCTAGAGCCATAAAATTAATGGTCACCATGGTGGACATCAGCGAAGGTGGCCATGGTGGATGCTTCCTTTCCGGGGATCCCAGTGCTGAGCAACCAGGAGGAAGCAGGTTGGTGTCAGCCTCCCAGTTCCCCTTTAGATGCATTTGTGCGTCTCTGCTCAGAGCAGTCCTGGCCTGATTTTCACTTCTTAATTCCCGGGACTACCTTCCACCAGAAGAAATCTGAAGTGTGGTACCTCAGCATTGATGTCAAGAGCTCACTAGAAAAAACCCTGCATTCAGAGCCAGGGTCTGTGCCCTGACTTTGCGGCCCATCTTCTGGGGGACTCTGGCTAGATGTCCCCCCTCCGGACCTCAGTTTCCACATTTGCAATGTGATGATTGACTGTCCTTTATGATTGGATTGCTGCGTTCTTGATTCTTATTTTGTGGTTGGCTTTATTCCTTTGATACCTAGGTGAGTTAAAAAAGCTTAAGCTCTAAACTGTTCTTAGAAACCATGATCAGTACATATGTGTAAACTAAACAAAACATGTGCAGTGTATTGTGTATATGTATTTACATGCAATGTATTGTATATGCGCAGTCAAACTAACAATTCTACCTAATAAAACTGAAAAATGAAAAAAAAAGGATAGGGGGTGGAGGTGAAGCTGGGTTGGGTCTCAGGACACTTGGGCAGAGGCTGGCTGGACTCAACGAGACCTAGGGCAGGTCTGACCAGGTCAGTCTTTCCAGAACACTGGGACCTGTGAGACCCCTGCCTCAGGCCTCACTTTTCAGGCTCTGGTTCCTAGATAGTTCTAAGAGTTTCTCAGTATACTATCAGAAAAGTGGTGGGAGGGAATGTCTCCTGGGGACCACTACTTTGGAAGTTTGGGTGGCCGGTTTTAAACCAGAGCAGGCCCTCTTGCTCTGGTTTTTTAAGGTCAGAGGCTGAGACTCGACTTGCTCCCCATACTCAGAACCCTTCAGCCCCCAACCACTCGGCCTGGGGTGGAAGGAGGGTTGTTCTGACATTTTGGTATAAAGTCCCTTTGCTCAGTCAGTCTTCCAGAAAAATTTCTGCGGGCCTCTGTGCAGCTCCCCCGTGCAGGGCCCTCTGTGCCCAGAATGGCAGTAGTAGTTGCCAAGCCTGTTCGTATCTGCTGTGGCCCCCCGCAATGTTACCACCCCACTAAAAAACCCCGCACAGGCCAGCCCAATCCTCCATCCCTTCATAACCTTGACCTCTAAGGCCCTGGCCTCTGCACCTGCCTCTGGCCTCCCTACCCTGGCCTCCTTTCAGGTGCTCAAATGCAGCCTGCTGCCTCCACCCCACCGCTTTTGCCAAGTGCAGTTTCCGCTGCCTGGAAGGCACCTTCCTTCCTGCTTTACCTCCTTCCCGCCAATCATCCTGAGATACCTGCTTGTCAGGGGGCATCCTCAGAGATGGCCACCCCGCTGCCAACCCCAGGCAGAGTTCAGTCTTGATCTCATTCTTCAGGGAAACTTCCTTGCTTCGACCATAGGGACATCACGTGACTTGGGTCAGACTCAACACTAGACTTATGTTCAGGGAGGGGAGGGGAGGGGAGGGGAGGGAAGGGGTGGGGTGAAGGGGTGTCCAGGGTCCAGAGCAGGTATCCTCGTAAAGTGGAACCTTTTAAATAACAATTATCGAGTACCTATTGTTTGCAGGTGTGATGCTAATGAATCCTTACAATAACCCTGAAAGGGAGGGGCTTTTATTGTCCTCACTGTACAGAAGAGGAGACTGAGGAGAGCCGACACCTAAGGAGAGTGTGCACGGTCACTTAAAAGTTGTCAAGGTCATAACGACATCCAAGGACAGTGGGCAAAAGTGAAAGCAATAGAGAGGGTTGTCAAATGAGGGTGCCTTTTCCAAATACCAAGTCACCCACCCTCTCACCTAGTCCTTGACAGAACATATTAGCACGGCTAGCACCACACTCCACGCAATCTTCAGCCTCTGCTTCGCCTGTGTGTGATTAATCTTGGAGCATCTTCCCACATCAGTACAGAGAGACAGTCTTCTTGCTCATTATCCACTCCAGTATCCTTTCTGGGAGAGAACGATTGGAAACAACCCAAATGCCCTTGTCAGGGCAAATACAAATAAAAACATTTCTTCCTGGTGCCAAGAAGAGAAAGCGACAGCCCCGCTCCCTTTTCTTAGAGCATTTACTTTGGAAAGCTTGTAAACTTTCTCTGCTCCTTTCACATGTGTGGGAGTCTTTAAAAAAAGAAAAAAGCTGAATAAGCCTCTTGCCAGGTTTACTACCCAGGAATGTTTTTCTCAAGGACAGGGGAGCCCTCTGTTTGCCATGTAAATATCAAGAAGCCAGCATCCCTATCTCCCCATCTCTGTGGGAGGGGAGGAGCTTAGCTTCAGGGTTTGACTCCAAGTTGCAAAACAACCTCTCTCATAAAGATATGAAGTCCTTTTTCCTGTGGATAAGGACAATTAGCTTACACAGAGAGCCACCCCCATCACCAGGTGAGTTCAGGATGTGACAAATGGCGCTATCTAGTTCCCTCATTTGAGGACAAGCTATCATTTGAGAACCCGGATGTAATAGGCTGTGTCTGCTGGTCTATGTAAAAGGGTGGGGTTTCTTTCTGCCTGTGCAACCTCTTTAGCAGACCGTCTGTGATGTGCACCGTGATCTGGTTTAATATGTGTTTGATAATAACTGTTTTCTTTCTCTCCTACTGTGAGAGAGGTTTTTGGGGTTAGTGAGAGATTTTGTCTGCAGCACCTACAAATGTCTTTCCACAGAGGGCTGGTTGAACAAATCTGGCTCCTCCCCACAGAGGAATACTGTGCAGGCATGACAAAGAACAAGAATGCTCTCTGCATTTCACTATGGAGTGAAGGTGCAAGGCACACAATAGTTGACAACTATTTTCTGTAAAAAGACTATATTTGTATTTGCTTATATCTGCATAATCTCCAGAAGAATAAACAAGGACCTGATGAAAGTGCTCATGTGTGTGTAAAGAGGAACTGGGCAGGGAGAGGTGTGGAGAAGGATGGAATTTTTTTGCTGAACATTGTCTTATATTTTCTGATTTTTGAAACTCATGACTATATTATCTATTCAAAAATCAATTTTAAAAGGAAGAGTGGTGGCAAGAAAACAAACAAACCCTGAAGGAAAAGAAGTCCCAGGACCAGATATTCTTTAAGCACTCGATTCTGTTTATTTCTGAGCTCAGCCTTGACCTGGAACCAGCTGAAAACATTATATTGATACAGTTTTTGGCGTTTGTGTTGGACCTTTTCATGGAAGGCTGATCTTCATGTAAAAGCAGAAAATGTCTTTATTTTAAAAAAGGAAAAATAAAAAATAAAACCAAAAAACTATCAGGTAGCTAACTCCTCCCCACTCCCCTCCCCAACTCCAGTTCAGAGATCTGCCTCCCAATGGCCTCTGTGTTGTTTCAGCCAGTGAGTGGGGTGGGGGGAACTCGCTTTCAGAGGCTTGCGGTGGCCCCTCCCACACCCCCGTCCTCTCTTTCTGCCTCTTAGGAGGTCGCTTACTCTCCAAGGCGGCCTTCCTGGGTCAGCAGAGGTGACAGGAAAGGGTGTATGGGGATACCATGTCCCTCCACACTGGGAATTGGGAAGCCAAGATGCCCAAGATTCCACCATTAGCCATCTGTCTTCTAGAAGCTTCTCTGTGGGTCCAGGAGAAAAAGAGATATGGAAAAGGGGTCACCTCTCAATCCATCTGGCCACTTCTAGACTGTGTTCATTGTCACAAAAACAATCACTGATTGTTATTACTGTTGGACATCAGATCAGGAAATGGTCCAGGAGGACTTGTTATGTGCTGCATGCTTCTCCCTTTTATCCTTGTACCAAACCTAAGAAGGAGGTGCTATTTCTTATAATCCCCACTTTATGGATGAAGAAACAGAGGCACAGAGAAATCAAGTAACTTCCCCCAGGTCACACAGCTTATAAGGGCCAGCTCACCCTCGCAGCTGTTTTCTCTTTTAACACCCTTGAGCCGGCTGGATGCCGCAAATCAGCCATCTGGCAAGAGCTGGAAGAAGTTCTGAGATGCTGGAATTGCAGGCACTGTGACACAGAGCTGGGGTGGGCTGTGCTTTGCATTTCCAGGTCCCGCGGAAGGCCTGTAGCATTCCTGAGGAGAATCTGTGTTGATGGTTCAAGTACTCAGGCTCTGCCTCCCAGCTCCTCATCCTTGGTGCTGTGACCTTGGGCACACGCCTTGCCTTGTGGGGGTCCCAGGTTTCAGGTGTTAGTAATAGGTGGGGCGAGCATATGATGGACCGCGCCCCTTCAGTTGGCCTACGCGGAGCACTGAAGACTGCAGAAGTCAGCGGATGAGAAGAGCCTCAACACGTTGACCAGCGGGAACATGAGAAGCGCTCCGAGGAGTGAGCCCAGCTGCACCACCGCCCCACACCACAAGAGGGCGCTGCGGCTATGGTCGCGCAGGATTACGCCCAGCATCACCTTGACGTAGCTCAGACAGCCAATGAACAGCACCCACGAAACCACCTGCGGGGATTGGTTGGAAGAGATGTCGCGTGAAGGCGACTTTGAGGGCGAGACCCGGGGGCTAAGGGCGCTTTGAGGGTGACCTAAAAGGGACAAGGGAACCCCATGGAATAACTTATATGTTTAAGGAGAGCCTTTTGGGTGTGACTCTACTGAACTAATGGGGCCTCATAAGTTGGCCTCCCCAAGAACCAAGGAGAATCCAATGGCTTTTTTGTCCCCCATGATCAAGTCAAAAGCAACTGGGAGAAGGCCGCTGCTGACATACACATGGTGGGAAGAGTGTGACGTTCAGGCTAGACTGTCATCACCTTGGACCAGCCACCTCACCTTCTTAAGCCTCTATTCCCAAATGAGAAGCACCCCCCACTCTCCTCAGCCTCCCTTTGGGCTCCCTGAAGAGTAACCACAAAGACTTAGGTCAATAGAAAGGGCTAGGCTCCAGGTCTCCCAGGCCTTGGCTAGGTGGGGGGTGGGTGGGAAGGAGAGCAGCTCCATAGGCCAGATACTTACGATGAGGACTTCTCCGCCCCAGTGGCCCTGCATGAGGGGGCAGGGGCTCATCACGGCCATGGCCATGTTGTAGGCCCCAAAGCCGGTCCCGAACACTGCAAGGACCCCCAGGAATGGCAGAGACCTAGGACAGAGTGGGGGAAGTGAATGGAGGAGGTGAAAAGCCTGACTTCTGCCCCAACTCCCCCACCCCACCCCAGCCCCGGGGGCCACATGGAATAGTCAGCATCTCCAGGATTAGAGGTTAGACCCATGTGGAAACTTCCAGGCCACCCAACACAAGTGGGCCATTGAGGTTCCAGGGGGTCAAGGCTGGTGTAAGTCACCCTGAGTGTTAACAGCAGGACCCAGCATCCCAGCAGGAGAAACAGAAGAGATTCTGGTGCTGCACAAGCCTGGTTCAAATCCCAGTTCCACCTGTGAGACTGGTCCCTGAGTCTGTTTCCTCACCTGCGAAATGAGTCTGTGGGGCTGGGAGAATCTGGAGGAGCAGAGTGTGAAGGGCCTGGCCCTGGCTGTGGGCCCACCTGCTCTCATCTGCTGCCATTTCCTCCTGCCACGCCTCCAACCTCAGCCAGGAAACTGGGCTGATGAGAGGGAGGCTTGGATCACGGCACTTGGATCATTGCAGGGTATGCTATACGACCTCGGTGACCCTTCCCCCTCTGGCCTCAGCTACCCTTGTCTATAATGTGAGGTTTACATGATCTGGGGATCCTGGTGGCCAGCTTGGAGACACTATGCTGGTGGCCTTCCGTGTGGGCCCTAGGTCTGGCCACTGAGGACACCATCCTTCATTTGAGGCCATTGCCCCTGGGGTCTCCCTGTCCACACTTCAGAACAGGCAGGCTGCCCTCCCGGGTGAGAGCCGAGGGGCTGCCCCTCCTCTGAAGACTCTTCCTCAAGCCTCTTGGATTCTGAGACTTTAAGATTCTGTATTTCAGATTCTGAGCATCTCAGAGTCCAGAGATCTGTGGCCTCTTGTCTTGTTTCCCTAGAAATCTCCAGCTTCCTTCCACAGTTTTTAAACCCCAAGGGAGAAAAATTCAACTTTCTGGCAAACTGACATCTTCTGTCCAGCTCTTCCCCGGCTGGGGGAGGGGGTGGGCAGGCCTGGGGGAGGTGGAGGTGAGTGTTGGTGGGTGGGGGTGGGCAGGGCTGAGAGGCAGTGAGGACAGGCAGGGCAGAGGAGCAGAGGGACCTAAAGTTTTATGACCCCAAGCTGGGTGTTCTTCTGTGGGGTCTGAAGCTCCTGCATCAGAACCACTTAGGCTGCTTACTGAAATAGATCTAGGCTGGCTCAGTCTTAATATCAGTTTGCCCAGCCATTCTTTGTTGTTCTTTTGTTTTGCTTTTTGTGTGGTGGGGAGGTAATTAGGTTTATCTATTTATTTTTAAATTTTTTTTTAATGGAGGTACTGAGGATTGAACCCAGGACCTTGTACATGCTAAGCAGGTGCTCTACCACTGAGCTCTATCCACCCCCACAGCCATTCTTCTAGAATTGCAGCTGTAAGAGCAGGGCTGAAATCCTGGGAATTAGACCAGAGCAAACCCTTTCTCCGAGCCTCAGGGTTTCCGTTTGTAAGTGGGAACCTCACTTCCTGCCTGCTTGCTCCTTCTCACAGGCCCATGGCAGACACGTGCCAGGCACTCACAGCTCTAAATGCCGTCCCAAATTAGCTCGTCTCATGCTCCTAGCAACCTAGGAAGAAGAACTATCATTATCCTCATTTTCCAGATTAGATTCCTGAGGCACGGAGAGGTAGAGTGACTTGTCCAGTGACACAGAGCTAGTCAGTGGCAGAGCCAGGATTTGAACCCAGGCAGCTGAGCCCCAGAAATCACATTCTTAACCACTACACATTCCAGCCTGATAGGCGGGTGTGGAATTTGGGGGTTCTGACATGAGGTATGTGCACCCTCAAACAGTGCTCTCCAGGGCCAGCTGGTGGTTGACCTGTTTGGCAGAAACATGGAGAGGAAGCAGGCGAGGGGGTTGGCCATGGAGCTGAGGGTGGCGGACAGGTGGTAGGCCACAGGCCCGTAGGACAGGCAGGAGTAGGTCTGCACGGAGGGTAGCACGCCGTTGGTGAGCGCGTTCACAAAGGCCACCAGGATGTAGATGAAGATCAGGTGGGCCGGGTGGCGGGGAGCCGCCTTCTCCTTCAGATGCTCCCGGTCCTGGCTGCTGTCCTCGGGGCCTGGGAGGCCCAGGCCCTTCCCTTCCCGCAGCTGGATGGAGTGTAGGGTGACCTGAGAGGTCAGGAGGTCTTCTACGGAGGCTTCCCAGCGCCCAGGTTGACGCTGGAGGAAAAAGAAAGCCACGAGGCAGCAGGCCATCATGAAGGCGAGCAGGAGGAAGAAGACCAAGGGCGAGAAGTTGGCGGGGAGGTAGCGGCTTTCCAGATGGAGCAAGGCAGGTGCCGTCCCAGCGAGGTCGGGCATCACAGTGCTGTTAGCTCCCTGCCGGAAGACAAAACAAGGGTCCGTCAGATCCCGGGGTGATGTCAGGACATAGGTTATTAATAACTAATCATTAATAAATAAAATAATTATTTAATGTGATAATTATCATTAATAATGATAATATAGGCACATCTTGCTTTATCTTGCTTCACAAATACTGCTTTTTTGTTTTAAACAAGGTGAGGGTTAGTGGCAACTCTGCGTCGAGCAAGTCTCTCAGCACCATTTTTCCAACAGCGTCTGCTCACTTCGTGTCTCTGTGTCACAAGAATTTAGTAATTCTTCCAATATTTCAAACTCTCCACCAGCAAAAAAAATTTTTTAGACATAGTGTTACCGTGCACTTAATAGACTACAGTCTAGTGTAAAGATAACTTGAATATGCTCTGAGAAACCAAAAAATTCCTGTGACTCTTCATTGTGATATTTGCTTTACTGCGGTGGTCTGGAATGGAACCCACAGTATCTCTGAGGTGTGCCTGTATACAATAAATATCAGGCATTTTTATTAACAGATGAGTGATGGATCATGTCTGCACAACTACTAAGGTGATGATAATAAATGCTCCCATTGAGCGATGGCTCGCTGGGCACCAGCCCTTTGCCTGTGTCGGCTCAGTGTTCCTTCTAACAGCCCCACGCAGTGGGGACCACTATCCCTGGCTTCAGAGGGAACCGAAGTGTCAGAACCACGCATCTTACCCGAGGGTCACAGGGAGTATGTGGCGAAGCTAATCCGCTTGGTTCTGACTCAGAAGCTACACCTTTCCCACTTGTAGAGGGAAACGGCCTCCAGGACTGGCAACCACAAATATATTCAGAGAAGGGGTTGGCTGGAGACTGCCCAGCGGGAGAGCCGCTCCATCCAAAGGTGTCCTGGGGCTGCTCTCCCCAAGAGACACCATACACCTAGATTTATGTATGTGAAATTTCAAAAAAAAAAATTAAATGTCATCAACTAATTCAAACTCTCAAAAAAAAAAAAGAAAAGCTTGCAGGCACTGGTGATGTGGGCCACTGGTTTGCAATCGCTGCTGTACTCCATGCTTTGGATACTACCAGATGTATATAAATTGTTCAGTATCCAGTGAGAGACGTTTGATGTTGTAACAATACAAGATATTGAAGCAACATCTAGACTATGGTTCTCAGCCTTGGCTGCACAGTAGCGGCACCTGGCGAATTTTCAATAAATACAAGTTCACCATCCCTTATCTGCAGTTCTGAAATCCAACAAGCTCTGGAAGTCAGAATGTTTTCGTGACTCAGTTGGCAGCAACAGATGAACACTTGAATGGGACGTGAACACCCCTGGGCTGTGGGGACGGCTGTGTCACAGACTCTGTCGCACACTTAGGGTAAGCGTGTTCTAAAATCTGAAAGTCCAGGTTCCAAAACACAGCTGACCCCAAGGATTTCAGAAAAGCTTCACTCTGGTTGTGTGGGGGGCCCGCAGCTCCCCCTAGGTGATCTGTAGCTCAACTAGGTCAAGAATCCTGATCTACTCAACATCTAGGAAACATGAGCCCTCTGTGTGATCTTGCTTGTGACCTAGGACAGAGTGCAGTGGCTCTGGGTAATGCCAGGTACCTGTGGGATGTCCATGTTCCTGGTGGTCTCAGCGCTCGGGGTGGTGTCTGAGGTCTCAGTGACGTTAACACAGGTGGTGAGACCGGAGCCCTGGGCGAGAGCCACCAGGGCAGGCAGGAGGCCACTGAGTCCTTCACCCACAAAGAAAGTGGTGAGGTAGTGGGTGGGCAGCCTGCTCATGAAAGGCAGGAAGGTGACAGAGGAGGTGCAGTCCACTAGGGCCAGGAAGAAGGTGAGGACCAGGAAGGCAATGCTGTGGTGGCCGCCTAGGACCCAGGAGGTGACGTTCCAGAGGAAGGCGAAGAGGGTGCAGGCGATGGTCCCCACGCTCAGCACAGTGAAGATGACAGGCACCTCGGAAAGACAGCCAGGCCGGAAGTGATGGAGGAGGGTTACCAGCAGGGGGCCGATGTTGGCCAGCTGGATGACCACTGTGAGGTAGGAAGGCAGGTACCAGCCCTCGGGCAGTTCCGTCACCAGCAGGGGCAGCTCTACCCAGAGTCCATTGATGGCCACCCAGGAGCCCATCCCGAAGGTGCAGACCAGCAGGTGTATCAAGAAGGCCATGGTGATGACGCCTGTCCTGGGCCTGAGGCTACCACCTCCGTAGGTCAGCCTGCAGTATGATTGATGGAGAAAAATACCAGGTGAGCAATGTCAGGTTCGCCATCTAGCCAAAGCTTACGCTTCTGGGCCCAGGGTTTTCTCTTATCATTTTCCTCCTCATGAACAAGTTGGCTTTTTATTAGCCTTAAACATGGACAAATTCCTTTATAACTAACCTTCCAGTGCAGAAGGCTTTCCTAATTGTGACTCATATATCCAGAGACTGCAAGAGAAAATTTTGATACATTCAACCGCATAGATGTTAGAACACACAAAAACAAACAAACAAAACACCTTCTGCAAAAAAATAACCCCAAAAAAAGACCTATCGTATAGCACGGGGATCTATATTCAATTTCTCATGATGAGTTGTAATGGAAAAGAACCTGAAAAAAAATATATGTATGTATATGTATAACTGAATTGCTTTGTCGTACACCTGAGACTAACACTGTGAATTGACTACATGTCAATAAAAAATAAGAATTAAGAGTAAAAAAAAGTAACAAAAAACACCAAGATTAAAAGACAGATGTCATCCTAGGGGAAAATACTGCAATGTAAACCACAGACAAAGGGTTCATCTTCCTAATATATAAAGAGTTTTTAGAAGGTAAGAATAAAAAGACCCAATAGAGGAGTAGGAACAGGATATGAACAGTCCAGAGAAATAAGGACAAAGAAGCCTTAGGCACATGAAAGATTATCACCTTCAATCACCACGGGAAATATCAATTAACAGTGACTGCAAGGTGGCATTTCTCACCGCAAGATTGTCCCGAAGCTAAAGGTTACTGCCCTGGACAAAACGACATATGTACGAGGCTATTATTCCTTGCTGGCAGTAGCAGAATATGGGAGACGACCCCAGTGCCTGTCCACAGAAGAAGGATGGCTGCCTGTTGGAATAGCATATACTTGCTAAAAGGAAGGAAGGCTGCAGGCTTGCTCACTGGCTGATAAGCAAGGGCCTGGCCTCAAGGCGAAGCTGATAAGTGAACAACATCCAGCTGGACAGTGCACTGCCTTTTGGACACAGGGGAGAAGGAGGAGGAATATGTTCTCTTTGTATTTGCACAAAGCAACCCTTGAAGGACACATAGAAACTGCTGGGGTGTGTGAGGCACCTCAGCGTAGATCTTTTTATACAGTTTTGATTCGTGAACCATGTTACAATATGGTTGCCTGATACAAAATTCCAGTCTGGCGTTTTTCTCCTGAAATGAGAGAGATGGACAGGCTCTTGGAGAAACCACCTAACTGGAGCCATTCTGAGATCTGTAGACCACCTTCCCAGTTACCTGTGTCATACACCTGTGCTGTTACCCACAGTCTAAGCAAAAATATTGGAGAAACTTTGTCAACCAGAAAAAAAAAAGGCACAACATAAGAGCAGTGAGTTTCAGTTTTATTTGGGGACATTACTGAGGACTATAGCCTGGGAGACAGCCTCTCAGTTAACTCTGAGGCTTTGACAAGGTAGGGGAGGAGCCAGTATGTATATAAATTTTTTGGCTGGGCAAGTAGTCGGGCATGTATCTTGGTAAAAGATTACTGCTAATCACAAAAACAAAAACAAAAACCCCAGCTGTCTCAGGCTAATGATTTTAGTGCTCTTCTATGTCTGGGAAGATGCAAGATTCTGGGGTCGTTGAAATTCTTCTTTAGATAGGCATCTTAACAATATAAGGGCTGTCTGTCCAAAACGTAGCATGCTTCATGCTGTTTTTCCATCCTGAATTCCCCTCAGGGGGTCGACTGCTGTGGACTGCAACTTGATCCTTGTAGGAATGGAATGGCCAGTGGGCAACATTCTTTGTTAACAGCTTTGGATGCGACTCCCGGAGCCAGCTGCCTGGACTTGAACTAGCCCTGCCACTTAACTGAGTGATTTGGGGCAAGTGAGTTTGTCTCTCTGTGCCTCATTTCCCCACTCTGCAAATAGAAGACAATGAAAGCATAGGCCTCATGGTTTATAATGAGATGCAACATGTTAATGAGTTTCTGTTGTCACCAGCAAGGCCTGGCGCACAGTAAGCAATCGCTAAGGGTGAGCTGTTACGGTTATGGGGCAATGCCAGATTTGGTGATAGTTATTTTTTCCCAATTTGCATGAAAATTAACACAGGGCTATTCAAATTTAAAAAGGAAAAGAAAAGCTCCCCACCTGGTACCGCTGGAAATCACTGGTGATACACGCACTATTTTGGAGAGAAATGCTGATTGGGCCAATCATCTTCCTTTACAACTGGGAAACAGGGTGGGGTCAGCAGGGGTGGAGTAGCTCTCCTGAGGCTGGTGATGGGATCTGGGGCCGGTCCCAGCCAGCACTTGGCTCTGCCCACCCATCCCTGTGAGCGCGGACCCCTCAGTTCTGCTCGATTCACATATCAGCCTTAATCTCCCTGTCTCCCTTCTAAAACACACAGGGACTTCCCCTGTGGCTACGCCCCACCCAGGAAACTTCTCATACCCCAGTGGCTCCTCTCCAGGTTCCCTGACACAGAACTGACTCTCACATTCCAGACTCCCTTCCTCCTTCTTCCTCTGAGGGAACCTAATCCTCCTTCCTCTCCGGGAGGCGTGGGAGCAGAATGCAGCCCGACCTGCTTTCAGCCTCCTGTCTGGGGGCCTCAGGCGAGCCCTAAGCTCTGTTTCCTCACCTGTGAAACTGGCCCAACAAACAGCCCAGGACAGACCTGGTCCTGGGCATGCCCAGGGGACTCAGAAGAGAGGGCAAGCTCCGGGCAGCTTCCGCCCGCTGAGCTGCCCCTGCCCTCACCTGTGCAGCGCTGCTTGCCTGGGGCACCACCTCCCTTCCCAGCTACATCCCAGCTTTCTGCAGGACCCCACCCCCCAGGAAACCTCCTCTGGCCACCCAGCCTGGACCCTTGGCCCCTCCATTTAAGGTTTTCCTGGTGTGGGTGAATGCTGGTACACTCCCAGGGGGACTGAAGCTCCTGGAGGGCAGGGACTGCTTGGGAATTGGGCAAGGACAGAGGACCAAGCTCCAGAGTTGTAAACTGGTAACTCACTAGCCACAGACAGCCAGGCAGCAGATGTGTTACTTTGATGTGCTGCGTGTTGTAAATAATTATCGAAATATGCAAGTCAGGAAGGAGGTGCATACAAAACGCAGGATTTCTGGCTTCTCGGGAGTATTCTGGAAGACCACACCAGGCAGAAATCACCCTTGGCTCTCTTTAACATAGGGCACCTGCCTGGGCCCTTCAGGCTCTGCACACACTGATCAAGACCAGCCCTTATTTTTGAGAGAGGGTGTAACTTGCCCAGGATCCCTCACTAGCTGGGGGCAAAGCAGGGGCTGGGATCCAGACTTGGGCTTCTCTCTCAGCTCCAGCCACCTTACTGCTGTCTCTGGCAATAACATCTGGAGGCAGAATCCTGGGTTCAAATCCCGGCTTCAACCCTGCACAAATAACACCCTCTGGCGACTGATTTCTCTCCTGCAAAATGCAGAGGCTCCCAGTACCAACATCAGGGTTGTTATGCCCATAAATTTGCAAAATGCTAGCCTGGCACCTGACACATAGTAAGTGCTCAATAAACGTTAACAATCCTGATGACTTTCAATAGATACATCAATTGCATTGGAAAACGCACAATGATCCCGCACATACTTCTGGATACCACAACACATAATTGCTGATGGCAAAATTTTGTCATCACCTCCTCCTAAACTATCAGCCAGGGATTATTAGGCACCTACTGTGTGCCCAGTGCTGTGAGGGATGCAAGCAGAAAAGCCACAGGGGCTGTCCCCAGAGAATAGTGTGAGGAAGAGATGTGTGGGCAGCAGACCCCAGATGCATCATAGCCAAGGCAGAGGAGGAGTTGCAGGTGGAGGGCAGAGGGCAGCGGCTGGAAATGCACGGAGAGACAGGGTTTCCCACCTTACCTTGGCTGAGGCAGGTAACTCAATGGCTGCAAAACGGTGGCAGTCTCGTCCCAGAGGATCAGTGGAATGGAGGAAGGAGAGGACCTTTTTCAAAGGTGATAGTTCCATGCAGCTTCTTGATTGCCCATTATACTGTCCAAAAAGACACAGAAACGGGTGCTGGCTGCCCACTCCCACCTGAGACCAGGATCCGGTATAAAGCAGGCAGAATCCCACTGAAAAAAAGCCGACCCACATCAACTCAGGTAGAGTTCTGCCTCGAATTGGTGAAACAATACGGAAGGAAAGAAAAAGCAGAGCATTGTATGATATCCCAAGGTCAAGTCTACTAGCTGCTTCCCACTAGCTACTCTTCCCTTTTTCCTTAGTTATTATTGAGACCAGATTTTTGGTTGGGCAAATGGCCACTGGGTTAAAGAACTACATTTCCCAATCTCTCTTGCAGCTGGATATGGACATCCAATCAAGATCAGGCCATTGAGTTTGTAAGGGACTTTGAGAAGTCTTCTTAAAGGGAGTGTGCTCCTTTGCTCTTCCTCCATCCTGCTGTCTAGAACTCAGATGTGATGGCAGGAACGCCAGCAGCCATGCTGCACTATAGCAGATGGCGTGGGAACTAGATGGAGACCAGACTCCTCAGGACTTCGTGACAGAGAGTCGCCACACCAGCCCTGTTCTCCCTGCCACTAGACTATTTTGTTTATTTATTTAATGTTGTTAAATTATAAATAAGCTTCTATCTTGTTGAAGTTATCTTTAATCTTATTTTATAAATAGCAAAACACTGGCCAAATGTATAGAGATAAATGTTCAAGGATGTATATTGACCAGTGATAGTAACCAGAAACTGAATATATTTATCTCATTTACTATTAATGTCCTGACTCAGAAACTTAGGTCCTGCCCCAGTTAGGATCTGATCAAAGACCAAAATCAAACAAAATTAGTTGTTGAGACACTCCTTAAAGGGATACCAAAAGGAAAAGGTTAGGAGTAAATTTAGGGGTAAAGGTCTTCCAGAAAAGTGCAGAGAGAGACAGAAAAAGGGAGAGA